TTGAGCCAAAAATTTCTTGCAAAGACCAGGGAGATCTAAGGCTGTGGTTAAAATATTACTTTTACAGGATGACATCATACCTTCAAGGTCAGTAAAAATAAGAAACGCTACATGCTAAATGAAGTAATATACAGGTTATGTGTTTTTCATCTCTTTTTAGATCTGAGTATGACCTTGGACATACTACTTTACTATTAAAACCTTCAATTTGTAGAATCTAGGTTGATCTTAGGTATTTCCTAAGAGCCCTTCCAGTTTTAATTTTTTTTTTTTTAATGTTACCCAGGCTGGAGTGTAGCAGTGTGATCTCTACTCACTGCAACCTCCACCTCCCAGGTTCAAGTAGCTCTCCTGCCTCAGTCTCCCAAGTAGATGGGAGTACAGGCACCTGCCAGCACGCCTAGCTAATTTTTTGTACTTTTAGAATAGGCTGGGTTTCACTATGTTGGCCAGGCTGGTCTTGAACTACTGACCTTGTGACTGCCCACCTCGGCCTCCCAAAGTGCTGGGATTAGAGGCATGAACCACTGCATCTGGCCCAGTTTTAAATTTTAGAAAAAAAAAAATTATATAGCTCCTGAATGCCATTATTACTCATAGAAATGGGAAACCTGCTTTTATAGAAAGTAAAGGTGGCTGAACACAGTGGCTCATGCCTGTAATCCCAGCACTTTGGGAGGCCAAGGCAGTGGACCATGAGATCAGGAGATGGAGATCATCTTGGCCAACATGGTGAAACCCCATCTGTACTAAAAATACAAAAAAATTAGCTGGGCATGGTGGCACATGCCTGTAGTCCCAGCTACTCAGGAGGCTGAAGAAGGAGAATTGTTTGAATCCAGAAGGCAGAGGTTGCAGTAAGCCAAGATCATACCACTGCACTCCAGCCTTGCAACACAGTAAGACTCTCTCAAATAATAATAATAATAATAATAATAAAAAGAAAGTAAAGGCTCTTATATATTCTTTAATCTTCACCTATCAGCATATGAAATTTTATGTACTGTTATATATGTCAAACAATCAAATCTCTTTAAGCAGAGCATCTTTCTGAAACATAACTGGTTCTCTACCAGGGCTGATATATATGGTAGGTAGCTATAACTTATGCTCTCTAAAATATAAAAGGCTTTCTCCTCCTGTATTAGGATTGAACATTTTTTTTTAGCAGTGTTTACTATATGTGAGAGGAGGAATTGATTTGAACCAAAAACAACCTCAAAACTCTCCTCAAAAGGGAACAAAAACACTGGTTTTTCAACCTTGCTGCTTCAAGTTAGGTTCCCTAAACATCACCAACTCATTACAGAGGCAATCAATGACTTAGGTCTGGCAATATCATTAAAGAACTGTGACTTTGGACAAATCATATACATTTGGAAAATTTTAGTTTTCCCAAATATTAAAACAGAAAATTAGAGTTTATGCTAGATAACGTATAAGATCTGCTATTGCAATACAATGATTCTCTGAGTATGTGTAATACATATCATACATACTATATATAACATACATATCATATACAATGTATATGATACTTAAAAGTTTCTGAAATATTTCCCCATTGTTGAATATACACATCTTAGAAACATATTACTACATGCTAAGAAATGAATTAATTAGTTACACTTGGTAAGTAGTACTCCATAATAATGTACTCAACCGTTTATTTAGATTAATCATCTTACAAAGTATATTAACTCCTCACCCAAATAAGAGGCATTATCTAATTATCTCTACTGATTCTTGGAAGGAAATAAAAGGCAAATATTTTCTCTGCTTTACAAGGAGAGGAACTAGAACTTAGTGAGTGGATGGGGTTGTGTAGCACATCACAGAGCAAGCCAGTGTCAGAGGGAGAATAAACTGTGGCCCAATGACTCTATAGAGCTTTCCGTTAATACTATGTCTCTCATTTTCTGTTACACCTTATAATATGTGAGTGAGTGTGTTTATGTGTTTTGGGGTAGTGGGTAGGAAAGCCAGTAGAGAGGGGGTAATCATTAAGCTATGATGTGATTTCAGAAAGGTTAATTCATTCACTGCATTAGGGGCTCCAGGGTATCACTAAAGACTAGATTCAGAAGGTTACATACATAGCTCTTCCATTTGCTCTCTAGCTACTGAAGTTCATTAAACCATATTATAATGGTAAAGGCTTACCTTATAAAGATGGTGTTAATCTACAAATATAAATGTTGCTTCAAACGTTCAAAAAAATTATCTTGCTCTTTCTAAAGTCTACACAATGTGTAAATAAAAGTCTTTAGGGAATGGAATAACCCAGCAACAGAATTCATCATTCTATCAACTACAAAGTTGTCTCAAATATTGATCTTTTACTAAATAAAGGTCCATACATGAATATCTTCTCACCTGGAACATTAAATAACTCAGATCAAAGTTCTCAATATTTTTTTTCTTTTCATGCCCTGGCCCAGTTGTTTTGGACTCCTATAGTTGAATTAAATGAATGTGTTTTTTGAAACCTGTTTTCCTACTTTCTCTTTATGGTTATTTGTTATTTGGGCTTCACCATAGGTTTCAATAAGTCCCTCAAATCAAAGACCAAGAATAAAAACAGTTTAAATATCAAATAATTTTAAGAATTTGGCTACTATCTCAAATATTTTATTTCAATACCAGAAAGGTATTTTTCTCTTACTTGTTTGATATATACGTTGACAAATAGCTCAGAATTTCTGGCTTACAAAAAATTTGTTAATACCTCAAAGAAAAATAAGCTCGCTTTATTAAAATAAAAGGTGAACAGAGTGATAAAACATTAACTAACCTAAGCACAAAGTAAGATGTTCTCCCCAAATTGCTTCAATATCTTATCGTCACCTATAATCTTTCCAGATTGAGGTTCAAACAAAAATTGCCTGGCTAGAGCACAGCAAAGATGGAACTTCTTTAAAAATGGGCTGTACTCTCAAATTTGTTGAGCCAGAAAATGCATGGTACTTTCCTGGACCGTGTGGACCACGCCAAAGAGAGAACCAGCCTGGAGCTGTTTAAATTCTTACCCAAAAGGATGTAGTTGAGGGGTATCAGACTGATAAGACTAGATTATGATATGCTGACTGAACACTATTATCCCTGATTGTGCTCATGTGACTAGAAAACCATTTTACACACAGCAGACACAGCAAAAAATCTCTGGCTTAAAATCCTACTATTGCTTTCCCATTGCATGTATGATGAAACCCAAACACCTACCTACCCTGCTCAGTCACTTTCTTTCCCCCATGGCAGTCCATCTACTGGTTGCCCCTTTTCCTCTAGTCAAGAAAGCTCTCTGTGTCTGAAACTCTTTCTCTCTTTTTCATGATGGCTTCTACATGCCATTTAGATATCAGTTTAAATGTGACCTCCATAGACACATCTTGCCTGACAAGCCACTCTAAAGCAGTGACCAAGATGCTCTCCCTAAGGAAACATTAGGCAAATTCCTCTTTTCAACTAGATTTCATCCTTGGATGTCCCTAACCTTCCTAAGCCAGTCTAAATGAAGAATCCTACTAAGTGATTTCACACTTCTGATATCTGATCAAGGTCTTCATCTTCCACCCTTAATGTTTAAGCCCTTCTTTTAGCAAGAATCTTGTTAGTCCAGTTCAGCAAGAATCTCCCTATCCTTGACTTCTCCTCTTAAAAATCTTCCATCCACTGACCCCCTCACTCTGATCCTTGACTATAAATCCCCAGCTGTCTTTGCTGTGTTTGGAATGAAGTTCAGCTCTTTCCCCAATTACAATAGTACAAAATAAAATTTGTATCACCTTTAACTGGTGTCTGGTTCTGTTTGTTTTTGATAGTAACCACCTAGTTCCCTGGTATCAAAATACCCTATTTTAATTCTCTGCATAGAATTAATCTTATGACATTATTATGGTGCTTTATTTGTTTATACACTAGGATGCAAGGCTTTGGGAAAAGAGGGACATTGTCTCTCTTGATCACTGTTTCATGTGATCAAGATGTGCAGATAGCCTAGAACAAAGCTTGGCAATGGCTACACAATCAAGAAATTTTGTTGGGTGAGACAATTTTCATGGTAGATCTAAAGGAGTATGAAAATGCACACAAGAGAATCCTGAAAATTAGCATATATGTAAGATTTATTATAAAAAGGCAAAAATGAATAAATCAAATATTAAAAGTTGATCCCTCAGGTTTCTTCTTTATATAATGTTGTATTTTCCAAATTTTCCACTATTACCTTTAAAATCAGAAAAATATAAAAAATAACCGAGAAAAAAAGTGGTTTAATGAATCACCATTTTTAGTTGGTTTCAAATGTGTTTCTTAGGGAGAAACCTTTTACTTGCTGGAAGTTTTCAAGATTATTGATTCTGTGCCAAGAAAAAGACATATACAAATATAAAAATGAAACAAGCACATTTTCACAGGGGAAAAATTGTCAAAAATAGTTATTTCCTTCCTTACAGTTCTAAAACCTAGCAGATCTTAAAACCAAGCCAATAATAAAATAGAGAAAAGGGTGATGAGGATAAGAGTCTGATATTACTTAGATATCACATTACTTGTGTCAGGGAAATCAACCACAAATGCTGTTTTCCCTGTGTAATCTGATTCACTCATGAGTGCTTGCTAGTGATTCATGTGGTGTTGTTAACTAGTGCAATGATCTTGACAGGAACTGCAGTACTCTGCTCACAATCCTGTGGGTCTCTACCCTCCACTGCACTTGCAGATGTTCACTTATGGCATTTGCCTTTAAAACACTTCTCCTTTGTTGGCTGTTGTTTACTACTTTATGACAGTCACCGTTGTTGAGGTTGTTTTAAAATTGTTCTTTACATGACTAAACACAATACTGTCGGATTATATGGCGGGGAGATTCATCAATTAAGGTAAGATAAAATGAAAATGAACTCATCCCTATTTCTCTCACTAGATAAAAAGCTTTGATAGAATCCACTTACTGGTCTTAGAGCCCTTATGCAGGCCATTTGTTCTCTCTGCCTACAATGTTTTTTTTTTTTTTTCACCTTCTCAATGAAATTGTCCTGACCAACTATTTAAAATTGGAATAACCCAACACTCTGTATTTCCCTGCTCTGCTTCCTATTTTTCCTCAACAGTTATCACAATCTAATATCCAGTACTTTGTTTACCATCTATCTCCCCCCAAAAACACAAGCTCCATGAGGCAGGGATATTGGTCTGTTTTGCTCCTACTATACAACTTGTTAAGTGAGTGAATGACACAGGTGAATTTGCTACTGTTATAATTTTTGAGATTATGTCTCATAAGTTTAATCCATCTATGATTTACACACTGAGGAAAAGGAACACTTGAAATCTCTTTTGTGGTTAGAAATGGGTCCTAGGTTCAAGGACCTAGAGTTGCCACAGTTTCTTTTGTACTCCTGAAATCTTAAAAGATAGAAGAAAATCTTCAATGAGGTAACCAAGAAGTTATGACATTTGGCTGCTATGGATCCCTGAAAAAAGATGTATACTGTGTCAGAATGTGTTGATAATTCTGTCTAGGTCACGAAAGTTTAGAACTTTCCCCAGAGTACTTTCTATTTTTATAAGTTTAGTCTGTATGTAGTATCAAAAAGAAAAGAGTTCTTGTTTTAGTTTGGCAGTTTTTTGAATGTTTGACTTTGGTCTCCTAGAGGAAATGGAGGAAACTAGTTTCATTATGGACCTGATACAAACAGAACCAAGCCAAAACAAACAAATAACAACTTTCTGCACAGGAATTCCAAGTTCATTAAACAAAGATTTGATTTTCTCTTAAACCTGAGCAAGAAAAGTACTCTTTGAGCTATAGTGGTTCATTGGGTGATTTCTCTTTAGCCAATCTTATGGGCAAATGATGTCCTCCCAGAATTCCTATGTTGATATACTAACCCTGGTACTTCAGAATGTGATTGTATTATTTGCATATAGACTGCCTAAAGAGATAATAAGGTGAAAATGAGGTTATCAGCGTGGGCTCTAATCCAATATGACTGGCATCCTTACAAGAAGAAATGTGGATGCAAACATCATACAGAAGGAAGACAATGTGAAGACAGGAAAAAGACAACTACCTACTTGCTTAGGAAGGAGATCTTAGAAGAAACCAAACCTGACAGCACCTTCATCTTGGATTTCCTGCTTTCAGAGCTATGAAAAAATAAATTTCTGTTGCTTAAGCCACCCAGTTTGTGGTACTCTGTTATTGGCAGTCTTAGCAAAGTAATATAGCCAATCAAGAAATGCCATAAATTTTTGTCAGAGTGAAATGCTTGTAAAGAGGTAGATTTATACATCAGAGTTGTTTTGTTCTCTCCTCAAAACAGAAGTTTCCTTTTAGTCAGCTGCCAGTATGTTAATGCTTCAGATTTACTCCACAGTATCCATTTGCTTAAGACCCTAAGACATACCCACTAAGTGCAGGATACTAAAAATGTCAAAGCAGGAATCAGGAATATAAATTGAATGCTCCTACACATAAAAATAAAACATCTATAAAGTTTTCAGTGGAAGATTTTGCAAATTCTACATCACTGTTACCCTTTTTCTTACTACTTATAGATCAGAAATATTTAGGTTAATAATAAAATTAAGGAAGCTGCGACAGTAACATTTTTCCAAAATAATCAAAGCTATTATCACAGAATCTGTTTTACACATATTTTTGGATTTACTTTTTCTTTCCTATGTATTTCTTGTTTCTTATATTTATCAGTTTAAAATTTTTTTAAAACATTTGTGCTATTTTATAATTCATGAGGGATGAATACCGTAAAGTCATATTACTATTTCTCAAATCAAATCAATGACTGTAACATAAACTTTTTTATTTTTGGAGACAAGGTCTCATTCTGTCACCCAATGTCTGAAGTGCATGACTCACTGCATCCTTAACCTCCTGGGCTCCAGCGATCCTTCCTGGGCTCAGCCTCTCTAGTAGCTGGGACCACACATGCACACTACCACATCCTGCTAATTTTTATAATAGTTTGTAGAGATGTGGTCATGTCATGTTGCCCAGGCTGGTCTTGAACTCCTGGGTTCAAGTGATTCTCCTGCCTCAGCCCTCCAAAGTGCTGGGATTATAGGCATGAGCCACTGTGCCTGGCCTAATGTAAACTTTTTACAGGATATGTGGAACGTAATTTAGCTGACTAAAGTAATGATATAAACCCTGTCTTTCCATACTTCAGATGCAGTAGCTGAGTAATTGCTAAAGATACATAAAAGTGCTATTCAAATAAGACCTTATATTATTTTTTAAAGTGTTAGTTTATATATAATCACTACCTTTTGAAAAAAATATATACAACTTTTCAAAAACTTGTCATATTTGCTTTATTTTTACCCTCGCAACTATTTTGCCAGGTAGGTAAAGGATTATCATTTTCATTTTATAAAACTCCACAGAAAGGACATTGAACTGATTAACATAGCGGACTCCAAAATATGTGGTTAAAATGAAGTTAATATCATCAGGGATTACCTAAATTTATTTATTTATTCTTTAATTACACTCAGGTTTTCTACTGGTTAGTATACAGTCAACTTTCAGCACAACAAGAAACATGCACTATTAATTTAGTATCTTTATTGGTTTCCACAAACTAAGATTAGTTTAATTTTTCCCATTTCTACTTCAAAGATTATATCAAAAAACAAACAACACACACAGAAAAACTTTGAAGAATCAAAGGTAACCAAGGTTGAAAGTTAGGAACCTATTTTATAAAAGTTATAAATATTATAGACTATCAAATTAACATTTTTATTGTGGTATATAAAATAAAATTTTAAATTAACATTTAAAAAACATTAAAAATATGTTCTCACCAATATTAGGATGCTTCAAAAGACGGCAGATTCTAGCTTCTCTTTCCAGTTTCTGATGATCTGTTTTAAAAAAAGGCAGAATAAGGCAAAAAATAACAAAACACAATAAAATGCATAACAAAATCACATAAGGCCTTTGCATTTACTCATCCTTTGATTTCATTTCAAAACAAGAATAATCCAAATTTAGAATTAAGTGAACAGCACATAGTTCAATATCGAATTTTATTTTACATTGACTTGATGTTTGACAGAGTGTAGTATAAAATAGTGCTAAATTTACTCTTGGGGAAAATAGCAGAAATGGCACAAAACAATGCTATTCTTTCTCATCTTTACATTAAGTACGTATTTTTTTTCACTTTTTTTTTTTAATTTTTTGAGACGGAGTCTCGCTCTATCTCCAGGCTGGAATGCAGTCGTGCAATCTTGGCTCACTGCAACCTCTGCCTCCTGGGTTCAAGTGATTCTTTCACCTCAGTCTCCCGAGTAGCTGGGACCCCAGGCACGTGCCACCACGCCTGGCTAAGTTTTGCATTTTTAGTAGAGATGGGGTTTTACCATGTTGGCCAGAATGGTCTTGATCTCCTAACTTCGTGATCATCCCACCTTTGTCTCCCAAAGAGCTGGGATTACAAGCGTGAGCCACCGCACCTGGCCAAGAACGTATTGTTATAACAACTTTAACCCTATATAGACATACCAATTTAGAGCAGAGGAGGCATGTATTGAAATTGGACTGCTAATAAAGTAAGTGCTAAATAAAGTTATTGTAGTTTATCCCTAATGGGGAAGTGTTCTCAGTTCAGTCACATGTTCTCTCAACCACTCTTCTTACAACTGCTGGTTCAACTTCCTAGGTAAATGATACTCTTCCTAATATCAAAGATTTCCCCAAATCCCTAATTCCTTGTTTATCTTCACCTTTCTATGTTACTGTAACCATTTCTTTGAAGAAACGTGTCTTAACGTGTGTTTTAAGAATTATCTTAATTCTTACACAAGAAGAAACTTGTGTTGTAAGAATTATTTTAATATTCTTCTTTGATATTTTGCTAGAGGTACATATACATATAAATATAATCAAAATCATTCACCAACACACAAAATAAATGGTAGAGAGAGAGACAAAAACATGGTAGAAACACATGCTGCTGTTAAGGGTAGCAGTGTATAGTGGTCATTAGCAGAAAGCTTATACACAGAATATCTGATTTAAATCTTACAACAACCCTCTAAGATTGGCAATATTATTATCCCTATTTTAAAACACAAATTCCAATAGTTTAACACCACTGCCTTGATTAATGCAAAGCCTCCAGCAATTTCATTATATTTCTTTTGCATTATGATGCAACACATGTCAACACACGTAAGAATGTCAACGCTCTCACACCTGTAATCCCAGCACTTTGGGAGGCCGAGGCGGGTGGATCATGAGGTCAAGAGATCGAGACCATCCTGGTCAACATGGTGAAACCCTGTCTCTACTAAAAATACAAAAAATTAGCTGGGCATGGTGGCATGTGCCTGTAATCCCAGCTACTCAGGAGGCTGAGGCAGGAGAATTGCCTGAACCCAGGAGGCGGAGGTTGCGGTGAGCCGAGATTGCGCCATTGCACTCCAGCCTGGGTAACAAGAGCAAAAACTCCGTCTCAAAAAAAAAAAAGAACGTCAATGCTTTTTAAAATAAAAGACAAATGATGTTTTAGCTTTAATTTGGAAATAGTTTTGACCTGAAGATCCCCTAAGAGAGTTTCAGGTACTCCCAAGATCTGCAGATACACTCTTTGAGGACTATTGGTGTATTCCATAATTAACTGTTGAATATAATGTAGATTTTTTTGGTCATTTAAAAAAAATTTTAAACACATACAGTGCTATTAATAGCTCAAAGTGTAAAAAAATAATGTCTTAATAAATCTGCACAGCATTAGATAGGCTCTAATAGTATATCTCCATTATATCTGGATTCTCAAATACAAAGACAGATACTCTCTGGACCTACCATTATCTAAAACTATACCGACTTCTAATAAATATAATTTCTTCAAACTCCCTTTTTAACAAGTCCTTATTCTTAAGAAAAACTACTTCTAACTTATTTAGAAGTATACAGCAAATACAAAAAGTTAAGGTAGATTTTGAAAATCCCTCTAACAGCAATATCATGAATAAATACTGCAAAGTGATACATGTAAAGTATGTGAAAGTGGCTGGGCACAGTGGCTCACGCTGGTAATCCCAGCACTTTGGAAGGCCAAGGCAGGTGGATTGCTTGCAGCCAGGAGTTTAAGACAAGCCTGGCCAACATGGCGAAACCTCATTTCTACTAAAAAAATGTGAAAATTAGCCAGGTGTGGTGGCAGGTGCCTGTAATTCCAGCTACTCAGGAGGCTGAGGCAGAAGAATCAATTGAACCCAGGAGATGCAGGTTGCAGTCAGCCAAGAACGCAACTCCAACCTGGGCAACAGAGGGAGACTCCGTCTCAGAATAATAATAATAAAGCATATGAAAGACATATGCTTACAGAGATTAGAATTTTGTTATGGAGACAGGAATATGCAAACATATGTGCTAAGCTATGTGATTACTATATATATATATATAAATACAGTTTTATATATAGGTAGTAATTTATATATATATAAATCATCTGAAAAATAATTATGTTAAAATAAAGAATAAAAAGGAAGTAAAAAATCTTTACAGACAGTAAGTTCTACAGAGCTTTTGCTATAGAGATAAACATAATTATAGAACTTTATATAGCCTATTGTATGGGCTCATCTGTTGTTTCCCTGTAAAATTCATATGAAGCCATCCTAATCTTCAGATCCCAGAGAATGTGACTGTATTTGGAGATGGAATGTTTAAAGAGGTGACTGAGCTAAAATGAGGTCATTATTGTGGGCTCTAATCTAATATGACTGGTGTTCATATATGAAAAGGGGACTGGTGCACTGACACATGCAGAAGGAAGATCATATGAAGACACAGGGAGAAGACAGGCATCTACAAGGCAAGGAGAAAAGCCTCAGAAGAAATCAGTGCTTCTGACACCTTTAATTTAGACTTCTGAGCCTCCAGAATTGTAAGAAAATAAATTTGTAACAATTGGTTAAGCCACCTACTCTGTGGTACTTTGTTGTGGTAGCTCTATCAAACTAATACACCGAATGTATCAGTTTTCTATTGTTATGTGTCCAACACCATAAACGTAGAAGCTTAAAACAACACACATGTATAAACTCACAGTTTCTGTTGGTCAAGAACCTGGGAATAGCTTAAGTGTGCCCTTTGCTTTAAGGTCTCTCACAAGGCTGCAATTAAGGTGTCAGCCATGGCTGGGGTCTCATCTAAAGTCTTGGCTGAGGAAGTATCTGCTTCCAAGCTTTCATAATTGTTGGCAGTACTCAGTTCTTACAGGACTTGTTGAGGTGAGGGTCTCAGTTCCTACCTGGCTGTTGGCTGGAGGGTGCTCTCAGTTCCTTGCATGTGCCAATATAGCAACAGGTTTCATCAAAGCCACCGAAGGAAAGAGTACGGTAAGCAAAAGGGAATGTCACTGTCTTATCTAACCTAATCACAGAAGTTATATCCAATCATGGCTTCCATATTCAATTGGTTAGAAAAAAAAGCTAGGCTGGCTCAATTTTAATGTACAAGGGCATGAACACCAGGAGGCAGGATTATTAGGACATCTTAGAATTTCTCTGCCACAGCAGACTTTTTTTTTTTTTTGAGATAGAGTTTCACTCTTGTCACTCAGGCTGGAGTACAATGGCACAATCTCGGCTCACTGCAATCTTCGCCTCCCCGGTTCAAGCAATTCTCCTGCCTCACTCTCCCTAGTAGCTAGGATTACAGGCACCTGCAACCATGCTCAGCTAACTTTTGTATTTTTGGTAAAGACGGGGGTTTCACCATGTTGGCCAGGCTGGTCTCGAACTCCTGACCTCAGGTGATCCAACTGCGTCGGCCTCCCATAGTGCTGGGATTATGGGAGTGGGCCACTGCACCCGGCCCGCAGTAGGCTTTATGACAACAGTACTGATGGGCTTTCTCTGACACGCAGCTTCACTTACCTTTTCTTCCATGTAATCACATAACTTAGTGATCCTC